ACCTAACAAATGGTAACAACACAAGATAACTCTGAGCGCCTAAACATATTATTTTACGACTCAACAAATTTATACCAATTGGCTGTTTTAAGCATGATATTAGATCACATATTAGTTTACGTGACAAAACACATGATTTCTAACCTAAAATTAAAAAATGCCATTTGTCACTTAGCTTAGAGTAGCCCTATCTAAAAAAAATCAGATTCTCACGCTAGAAATGAATAATTAAAAACACTCCAGTAACAATTGGGCCAGACATGACCATGGAAATAGCTAATCATTACCACTTAGTGTTTACGAATTTACAAACTAAGGTCGACTAAAAATAATGATAAAGTAACTGTTACGTTCTAATTAGGTTAAGTGAATTTTCTGAAAAAAGATTCAAATCCAATGAAGATTATCACTACAATAAAATATAATGAAACAAAACTAAAATAAAAAAGGATTTAGAACTAACACACAAGCAATTAAATTACATATTCGTAACAATATGTTGCACTATTTCAATGAAGGAATATATTGAAGGACTGGAATAGTAACATCATTCTAAATCACCATTGATCATCACAGGGACGCAACACACCCATGTCATTATGCTTACCTGACTGACTTCGTTACAGAGAAAATAAGTCTGAAATAATTTTCTTCCATTATATGTGAGAACCTCTCAACACAAATTCATAGAATCACGTGACCTGCATCAAAGATGAAATCCGTTCAATTTGTTTTAGACTGTGATCAATACAGACAAAAACATAGTCATGGACAAAGGTAACCAGTTAAACACTTTCTATCTGAAGACATGGTGGAATATTTTGATTCCTATTGATTGATATTGATTCTTATTGCTTCCTATTGACTGGATACTGGTAGTCATTTAAAGACTTGTTGTGAACGTCATTTACCTATAAACTTTGCGAAAGTAAAATGATACTTGTAGTTTAAGTCCTTAGCAAGACAAAAACCTCGTGTAACATTGAAACCCACACTTACCAACGTTGCCATCTCTAAAAATTTTCGTATTGAACCGTAAATTGTAAATTGCTTTGTCCGTTCACTTTTCCCCAGTTAAACATTTGACATTATGTTTGAAGAGGAAGGACCGTACTAATCACAGTCTTCATTATTATTAGCAAATGACCTATTTAATACAAAAAGTAATCGTTGATTTTATTTTATTTTTAATTATCTCTCTTTTTCTCCTCTCTCTCTCTCTCTCTCTCTCTCTCTCTCTCTCTCTCTCTCTCTCTCTCTCTCTCTCTCTCTCTCTCTCTCTCTCTCTCTCTCTCTCTCTCTCTCTCTCTCTCTCCTAATGAAAGTTTCAGATCTGAAATAACTTGTATCATGTTCACACACGAATTATACAAATTAATAGGGTTATATGTGACATGTACCAAAGATGAACATCCTCCATCCATGCCATCGTCTTTGACATACAGAAGAAAGTATGCCCAGTTTGCAATTCATCGTAAACTACTGAAAGAGGACAGGGATTGCACAGATCGCATCCAATAAGAAAGAGTCACGCGCATCTACGGTCCCTGCAAGAAGAATGGGCATATTAAAATTAGAAGACTGGACGAAAGTGGCTTTTCTGGATTATACGAAGAGAGCTATATTGTTGGAGGTATTGAGATACCCCCAGCAGCAGCAAAAACATTACATACAAACTGAGACTGAAAATGATCAAGCGAAATTTAGGATGACATTCACATCAGATTAATAAATGATAAATGTTGAATGACATGTGCTGCCTGTGAGACAATTCCAAAGATGCATTCGCTAAACGTGTCACCTTTCAGGCCAAAACCAACGGCAGTTTGATTTAGGGCCACGCCAGTATTCTAGAAGAGAGAATACAGATACAGCAAGTATGTATTTGTATTTTTCTATTTGTGTTTGTATACTGGGCTTAACTTAAACTAGATGAGTGGTCAAAAAGAACCAGTATGATCAATAGGCTAACTATACTTACCTTTAGGTGATACTATTCAGGTATACTAAAAGAGCTGAAATGAATTGAAATATCTCATAAACAAATTTAATCATCTTTTCACCTTAACCACCATGCTTAGTTGCAAGTCTGACAACCTTTCACTTCAATATCCGAGGTATTAAAGAAACATGATGTAATCATACAACCTGGGAAAATAATTATGAACTGTTTAACAACTTAATCACAGGCGTTTAAATAAAAATGAAAGGTCAGAAATAAAGAACCAAAGCTGCCCTGCTTTTGCCTGTCACTTGTGTGCCGTCATTTTACATCAGCTTGAAGTTGTGTGCCGTCATTTTACCTCAGCCTGTAGTTGTGTGCCGTCATTTTACCTCCTCACCTTGTAGCTGTGTGCCGTCATTTTACCTGAGTCTGTAGTTGTGTGTCATCAATTTACTTCATCTTGTAGCTGTGTGCCATCATTTTCCATCACCCTGTAGTTGTGTGCCGTCATTGTACCTCAGCTTTTAGTTATGTGCCGTCATTTTACCTCCTCACCCTGTAGTTGTGTGCCGTCATTGTACCTCAGCTTGTATTTTTGTGCCATCATCTTACCTCATTTTGTAGTTGTGTGTCATCAATTTACCTCATATTGTGGTTGTGTGCCATCATTTTATCTCAGCTTGTTGTTGTTTGCCGTCATTTTACTCAGTTTGTGGTTATGTGCCGTCGTTGTACCTCAGCTTGTATTTGTTTGCCGTCATTATACGTCAGCTTGTAGTTGTGCCGTCATTATACATCAGCTTGTAGTTGTGTGTCATCATTGTAACCAAGCATGTAGTTGTGCCGTCATTTTATGTCAGCTTGTAGTTGTGTGTCCTCATTTTACATCAGCTTGTAGTTTTGTGCCCTCATTTTGCCTCCTCAGCCTGTAGTTGAGTGCTGTCATTGTACCTCAGCTTGTACTTTTGTGCCATCATCTTACCTCATTTTGTAGTTGTGTACCATCAATTTACCTCAGATTGTGGTTGTGTGCCATCATTTTATCTCAGCTTGTAGTTGTGTGCCGTCATTTTACCTAATATTTTGTAGTTGTGTGCTTTCGTTGTGCCTCAGCTTGTAGTTTTGTGCCTTCATTATACGTCAGCTTGTAGTTGTGTGTCATCATTGTACCCAAGCATGTAGTTGTGTGCCATCATTTTACATCAGCTTGTAGTTGTGTGTCGTAATTTTACCTCAGCTTGTATTTTTATGCTATCATTTTACCTCAGGTTGTAGTTGTTTGCAGTCATTGTACCTCAGCCTGCAGTTGTGTGCCGTCATTTTACCTCAGCCTGTAGTTGTGTGCCGTCATTTTACCTCAACCTGTAGTTGTGTGCCGTCATTGTACCTCAGCCTGTAGTTATGTGCTGTCATTGTACCTCAGATTTCAAATTTTGTGCCACCATTTTACCTCAGCTTCATTATGCACGCTGCAAAACATTTTGAGTCTTTTATATATATATATATATATATATATATATATATATATATATATATATGTATGTATATATATATGTATATATATCTATATATGTATATGTATATGTATATATGTATATATATGTATATGTATATGTATATATATATATATATGTATATATATATATATATATATATATATATATATATAGATATATATATATATATATATATATATATATATATATATATATATATGTATATATATACATATACATATATACATATATAGATAAATATATATATACAGATATATATACATATATATATACATAAATATATATATATATATATATATATATATATATATATATATATATATATATATATATATATATATATATATATATATATATATTAATTTATAATGTAAGAGATTTTCGTAAAGCTCCTTGAACCATATGTAATTGTTAATAAAATGATAAATTCAACCGGTAGCAAATTCTTGAGGCTAAATATAATATCGCTTTTATTTCAATACGAGTGTTGTATATTTTTGACCTTGTTGTCGTTCCATTGCATCACCAAAATACACATGGTCTGTAAGATTTTCTTACAGAGACAGTCGGATAAACAAATACGGTTAGATTGATAGAGTACGCGTATCTGTATATATTCTTATCAATGCTTTATGTGGGTTTAAGTTCGATACAAGCTAATGATAATTGTTTTATTGAATATAGAAAAAAAATGCATAGAACTTTTACCAACACTGTGCACTCAGATATCAGAATGACTAAGGTCATTTATTTATGGTTTGGTTATCTTCAGATCTGTGCTTTTAAAAGCAGATGCTAACTTACATATCCAGCCTAGTTCTGTATTAATAAATACACATCTATCTGAAATTGAAATCCAGTGTAGATAAGACCGAAGAGGTCTTCTTTGCTGAGATGGAAATACACATTTTGGTGTAGAATATCAATACGACCAAATTAATACTTTTAACTTGAAAATTCATTTCTGCTAACGCGTTTTTGTGCACAAAATGATGAAAGACGAACTGTTTCTGAATGTATGTAATCAAATATAATTAAACTTTGTTCTCGGCTTGCGTGTTAAGCATTCATCAAGTGTATAATTTGTCGTTGACATTGTTCTTTTTCTGAGTAATCTGTGACCATGTGGTATTTTTACTTCACATTACAATAAATGTGATTTATATTTGTATCACCTATGATTTGATTACATTCTAATGGTATTTTATGTCCTATGGTAAAACTCAAAAGTTGACTTAGATAAACAGATGTTCAGTACCTTCAAATGATATGTGGATAAACAAATGGCAAAAAAAGACATCTATACGTTTATTATTTGTATAGCTGATTATGTAGTTAAACGGTCATATCGTTACAATCTCTGCAGTGTGACAGTTTATAGTGATGTCTAGCACTGCGGCATCATGCCGCAGACATATAATATGTTGCCCACCCAGTCACATTATCCTGACACAAGGCCGACCAGTCCTTACACTAACCTCTTAATGCTGAGCGCCAAGCGAGGCAGCTGTTGGTACCATTGTTATAAGTCTTTGGTATGTTTCGGTCGGTGTTCGAAATCACGACCCTCCACATCTAAGGCGAAAGCTCTAACCACTAGGCTACCGGAGCGGTCTACAAAGATGAATAATATACATGATAAATCACGCCACAAGCCAAGCAACTTCATTGTAATAATACAAGGCAGAAGTGAGTGCGCTTGTGTATGTGTATGTGTATGTGTATGTGTATGTGTATGTGTATGTGTATGTGTGTGTACACACATACACACACACATATATATATATATATATATATATATATATATATATATATATATATATATATATATATATATATATATATATATATATATATATATATATATATATATATATATATATATATATATATATAGATCCATTGTGGTTTATTATGTGTGTTTATGTGTGATTTAGATTTTTGTAACGTAGCTTTAACAATTTTTCTGTCATATGGCTGCGATGTCTGCATAGTAATGTGAAGCACTGGGGCATTATATCGCAGACATGTGGCATGATGTCCCACCCGCTCACGTTACCCTGACACCAGGCCGACCCATCCTAACACTAACCGTTTATGCTGAGCGCCACGGTAGCTTATTGTGATTTATAGTGGACCAGTATACTTAACGTAAATCAGGATAAAAAAAGATGATGCTTTGATATCAAGACTAAACGATTTCAAAACTTATGTACGTGATGTTTACCACGAAGCAAGAGTGAAGCAAATATTGCTTGTCTTGTATTTCAGACCATTATACCAACAATAATTAAGCGTCCTATTATTCTATATCGCCGTCTGCCTTTTCTATCTTTCCATCCAATTTCCCGACGTGATACCTATGCCATTCATGCGTTTGAGAAAAGAAAATAAATTGCAACTTAAGATTGCTTCACTCTACAGGAACACACTGGTAAGAAACGCTATATTCATTTCATGTCACAGATGAAATAAATTAATTCCGATAATTTGATGACCGCATACATATATATTCCCCTGTTTTCAAAACATCTACTGTAGGTAAACGTACTCGAGATTATCTAACGTTGTGCTCATGTATAAATTATTTACAAAAAGACAACTGCAGAGTCCTTCAAAGAAGATATTGGGTCCTAAATCTTGTACCATATAAAGATTTTTGGGTCCTAAATCTTGTACCATATAAAGATATTGGGTCCTAAATCTTGTACCATATAAAGATTTTGGGTCCTAAATCTTGTACCATATAATTCATCTCTGCATGTGCTAACTTTCTGTTTGTTAAGGCATGCTTCTCTACGTTACAAATTTCGCCTAAAGACAGATATCACAAAAAACCAACAAATTAAGCAGAAGTTACATTTTGGAACATAAATTACAACTAAGTCAAACAATAGTTAAAGTTTGGAGTTTGGAACATATACCACAGTCAAGTTAGAAGTTACAGTTTGGTACATATATCACAAACATATAGAACGGAACTTACAGTTAGGGAAATATATCACAACCATATCGAACAGAAATTACAGGTAGGAAAATATATCACCACCATATCGAACTGAAATTACAGTTAGGGAAACAGATAACAACCATATCGAACAGAAGTTATAGTTAGGGAAATAGATAACAACCATATCGAACAGAAGTTATAGTTAGGGAAATATATCACAACCATATCGAACAGAAGTTACAGTTAGGAAAATAGATAACCATATCGAACAGAAGTTACAGTTAGGGAAATATATCACAACCTTATCAAAGAGAAGTTAAAGTTAGGGGAATATATCACAACTATATCGAATTGAAGTTACAGTTAGGGAAATATATCACAACCATGTCGAACAGAAGTTACAGTTTATGGAACTATTGTTGATTAATGGATTGAGTACCAGTTTCACGACTATAAGGATGCGGATTCGAATCCGACCATTGGTCAATCTGGGTAGGCTAAGTTTGCATGTCGCAGTACAGATTTGGGTCAGGGTTTTGGAGATTAGTAAGTGAATTTTGCAGGTTATTGTGCTGTAAATAAACAAGGCACAATAGATCATTCTAGAAGGTTATTTTCCATTAGGTAATGGTTGCTTTTAGAAAATGCTAATTGTGACATGAGGTCAAGCAGAGAACTATACAATCTTGTGACTGAGGATTTTACCAGTTGTGCTTTAACATCTAGCACCTTCAAGTTGTATTATGTTATGACCAGTTTAGGATGAATTTTATTTTCTTCAAATTATTGAATTCAAGTATTTATTTTCTCTGGAAATATAAATGTGCTTTATAATTGTTTTCAATTAAAGCATTCACTGGAAGTTTTACATAATAATTAAACCTGGAATAACATTTTCTTTGTGATTCAATAATAGACTGTCAATACATCAAGATTCCATAGGCGATAACAAGCACGCCATCGTCTTCAGATTTGGATCCTTTTGACTTGAACTGAGTTTTATTCAAAACCTTTTATTATTAGGATTTGTGTCAATAATTCTCGAATTATTTTGGGATTTAATTCGCAATACAGTAAGTTTTGTTTCTTCTCATTTTCACTTTATATCCTAGGAAAATATATAGTTTGTTAAATTTTACAAAGTTTGTTGTCTGCACCCCTTTCGTTTACATATATATATATATATATATATATATATATATATATATATATATATATATATATATATATATATATATATATATATATATATATATGAGAGGGACATATTATTCGGTTAGCTAAAACACAAACTCAAAAGAAATTATGTAAATGATATTCATATACTCGTCTTTCCCGTTTGTACATTAGGCATATCCTTGAAGGATCGTGAATATTTGTTTCCTCTGCTAAGATCACATAAATATAAAACAACAATCGAAAAGGAAGTAAAGTTTCTATATGAAGATCAGTGATGTTTGGGGACAAAATTTGAACTTTTGACTTTAAACTCTAATCTTACAATTATTTTCAAAGATACAAAACAACAGTAAATGTCATATAGTGTATATTTTTTATTCAGATAATTTTGTAATTAAAACAAATTCTATCTAAATTTCCTGCAAAGGTAGTAAGTTTATATGTTACTTTGTATTGCTATTATAGTGTACCCAAGCCTCAACAAATATAAGTACATTGTGTAAATCCATTGCAAAAGACGTCAATGGTGTACAAAAATGATACAAAAATCCCGGTCATTAAGGAGAAATGTCAACAATAATGTATTTTGATGATTACTTCACTCGGAAACCGAGAAGAAATATAAACTGTATTTGATTACAATACACTCTGGAGAGTTCACGTTTCGCTTTTTCTTGCATGTCAGCGTACTTTCAGATCAATCATCCTCAATTTAAAAGGGTTATGTTTATTTCTTTCATTCTGTATTCTGCACCAGAATATTGCATACACCTTGGCAATGACGACTTACCGGATTAAATCTAATCTGCAATGGTTTTACGTTGCAGAGATGTGTATTTATATTAATCCTCCTTTAATAAACGTTAAGGTGGTAACATTAATACTGTCTTAATGTTTTATCAGAAATATAATCTATGTAACAAATACTGCATGTTTGTGTGTACTTCTAAGAAAATTTACCTTGTTCTTTGCAGTACATTACAAAAATACCCTGTTCCTTGAATTACATTACAAAAAGTACCCTGTTCTTTGTGATATATTATAAAAAAAGTATCTTGCATTTTTATCCAACACCTGCCCATAAAACAATTTAAAATAAATTTAGCTCGATACCAGGAATCGAACGTTTTAAACTCTATTTGAAAAGAGCTTAAAACCCCAATGCCTACGTTTAAAAGGGATTATATGATTTGTTAAAAGTAAATCTCTGGCATTAAGCATTCTTTAAACGACGTCCAAATATTCAGTTTAGAATTAAGGATTGCCGAACTCGCTCTTAATTCCATTCTTTTTTGGATTTGCTCCGAAAGTTCTGACTTCATACAGTAATTCGACAAATTCCGCTCGTAATTAGTCTTAAAGCGACAACATTGGCACATTTTTGACAAACCGATCTTAATAACATATTAGAAAAGTCATTTCTTGTAACATAAGTAAGCATCCCATGTTGGCGAAGTTTGTATATGTTGACCTACACAATTCACACTTATCCACCTAAAATAGGTCACCTAATAACGTTTACGAAGTAAGCTCAAAGACAAGGTTACTCTCTCTCTCTCTCTCTCTCTCTCTCTCTCTCTCTCTCTCTCTCTCTCTCTCTCTCTCTCTCTCTCTCTCTCTCTCTCTCTCTCTCTCTCTCTCTCTCTCTCTCTTCAGTTGAAAAGTTTTTTTTAATTGAAAATGTTATGGTTTCATGGTCAAAAACGTTTATATTTTAACGTATTTTTAAATGCTAGATAATTTATGACCGCCCCTATTGTCAATATCCATGTTTCGTATACATCCATGCACTTCTTGTTTTACAGAAGGAAATCTATGGAAAATGATACAATTTTATAAAAGAGATCATGTACAAATGATGATAATTAGAACATAACGGAGATCACCAACAAATGCTGTTAATTAGAACATAAAGGGGACCACATACAAATGCTGTTAAATTAGAATAAAACGGGACTCATGTACAAGTGCTGCTCATTTAGAACATAACGGGGATCACGTACAATTGCTGGTCAGTTAGAATTTAATGAGTGCCATTTACAAATACTATTCAATTATAATATAACGGTGATCATGGGGAAAAAAAACCTGCTGTTCAGTACGAATATAACGGGGAACATATTGTACTAATGCTGTTCAATTAGACTATAACAAGAATAAACTAGTCTTTTTTATCTTTTATTCAGCTAACTTTTGCCCTCTCATTGACAAGTGCATTTGGATCATGCTTACCATGGATAACAATTACTCGTCCTGCCATACACACGGTTGGCTTGATTTCTTTATATTCAAAAAACGCTGTAATTCAGTGGTTAGTGGGTCTTAGTGGTTAGTGTGTCTTAGTTGTTGGTATGGCTTAGTGGTTAGTATGTCTTAGTGCTTAGTGTGTCTTAGTGGTTAGTACGTCTTAGTGGTTAGTGTATCTTTGTGGTTAGTGTGGCTTAGTGGTTAGAATGGCTTAGTGGTTAGTGTTCTTTAGTGA